GCGGGACACTGGGGGCCACCGCTGGACGGGTGGGCGGGGGAGCATCATTTGTCTCGACTTCGCTCTAGCAACGGCGGTTTCATTCCTCTCGCGCGCCCGCGCAGCTTCGCCTCGCCCGCGCGCGCGACGCGAACGAAACGGAACGATTTTCTCGTTGGGGGTCTCCGTTCCATTGCGATCTCGCCCCCCAGCCTCCGATTACGAAACCTGCTTCATGTCGTGGAGGCTGAATTTGTTAGATATAGACATACCCCTTGTGTTCACCCGACTAGCGCATGAGGCTTCATTTGCCAACAGCGCGCGTACATGTTTCAACGAGGTATTTCCATATAACGCATTGTTTGACCGACAGCCAGCAATGCCCCCCAGTTTGCCTGTTCTAGATCACGAACTACAGACGGAGACATCCGAGCATACTCGAGAACATGTGATTCGCCGGGTAAGCATTGGGGCTATTACACACGCCACTGCAATAGCAAAGACAAGCCGCGCACTACGGACTAAGACAAGCATCGCTGGTCTGCGTTGTGACGACGAAGGTGGCCCAGTTGATTGCCACCGCCCCACAATTATGAAAGTCGATTGGGGTGGCTGGAATGGACCCTTCCCGGTCGTGCGGAACGATCCTGAAAGGGGCCAAGTTATCGTGCGAGTTGGGGATCGCGATGTACAAGTCCAGCACGGCGATGCAAGACTCGCTTTTGATTGAAGCTCTGATCACTCGAGACATTGGCTCGGACAACACACAATTACGCACTGCGTTGGCATTCATGGCCAGTCTACCTGCGGGGCGACCTGCTATGACCCTCGGCTATCCCCCGACAAAACAGGGGATGCTCCAAATGACGAGTGCGAGTTGAGAATCTCCAAATGTACACTTCGCTCTCCAGTATATCATCAGAAACTTCTGCCGCATCGAACACGTTGTTCCTGTTTGGTTAACTGAGAGCATTCATAAGTTACCTCCGGTAACGTGTTCTGACAGCTGTAGGTTGGTGCACTATGAGAACGACGTCAACCCAGGTTAAATTATTATGAAGCTGAAGGCACTGCCCTAAACATTCAAGATATAACTGGATCGGCACAATCTAGAACCATGCAGTGCCTGAAGTTCACCAAATCTCAAGCGGGCTTCGATCAAGACATGGCGAAGTCCGATGAACTGGCAGACATGCCAACGCAAGGCAGCAACGCCAGGGGTGGACCAGAAGCCGAACCACCGCAGGAAGACGGCCGGCCCCCCACAATCCACGAGGAACCGGAGGCGGACATCGAGGCACACATTATGGAAGTGCGGTATACGGAATTCAAAGACGAAAGGGAACTGCTGGAGGCCACTCCAGCAGAAGAGCTCTACACTGCACCCACACATATGATTTCTGATAACAGCGCGCTGGTCGCTGTAGCTGAAGAACAGCAAGGGGTCTTGCCTACGTGGGGCAACCCGCAGGACATTTACACAACTGAGGCATATCATGTCTCATTGTGTTGCACGGGCGAAGATGACAGTTGCGAATTGGACTCCGACGAGCACGAACGAACGACATGTACACATCTGCTTTACAGCAGAAGTGTTGAAGATAGTTTTATCCGAAAAGCAATAGGATATTTGACTTCGACCGTGCCACTTCGATGCGAGCATGCGCGACCGCTGCAGCCAAACTAGCTGCAGTCGCCAGGGGGGGGCGACCTTCTCATCAAGGCAGACGCTCAGGCGAGTCCAGCCAAGGTATCGCAAGCCCTATATACTGAACTCAAGACACGGTTTAACCATATATTTTCAAAATACAAGACATATCCAAGGCGTCACATCACGACTTCGAGATACGCACACAAATTGGCATTCATCGTGAACGAAGAGGGCGATATGGAACGCGCCATCAGGTTGCGCCCGGTACCTCTGGGCGTCATGGACCTCGAAGCTGTCGATGTAGAAACGCCCTCAGGAACGGCGCGGCGGTCGAGCCAGCGATTACTCGCCAGCGCGGCAGCGCGCGGGAAGCAGTGGACATCGATCCCCTTGACATCAACATGGCTTTCTTGAAGGGACGCACGCATCAAGAGCTCGCGAAAGCGATTGGTAAAAAGGCACGCGCGGCGCGCTTTGCCTTGCCACTTGGTCCAGCATCAGCGCTCGGATTTCTCCCGGGACCTGAGAACTATGATGAGTCAAGACATTGTCTGCAGCGCCTTAGACCAGGAACTGGCACCAAACGCGCACCGGGAGCCTTCTCACTGAAGCTCAGGAAGACCACGGGAGGCTTTGGACTCAGACCCACGTCGTACGACGAGATGCTCGAGACGGGTCCGAACCTTCTCTTTGCCAGACATGGCCGGCACTGAGGGCGCCGTTGGCAGGTGCGTCAAGTGCGTTGGGGATATTCTTGGGCAGCGTAAGCTCAAGAAACAGACCTTTTCCAAGTGCGCTGTGAGATATGCTATGGACAGCGACGGCAATGTTATTCTTGGCCAAGACGTATATATGAAGCAGCTCCACCCTATCCAGCGCCGCGAACTCGCGGGCGCAGATGCTGAGGCTGAAGCATCGAAGATGGTCGCTGACATGTTTGTCAGCCTCAGAGGTGCTCTGGCTTACGCCCTCAGCACAGCGCGTCCAAGAACCGACCAACATGCAAGCGCGACGACCCAATGCGATCACCAGGAAGCTGCAGGCGTGCCCTAGGAAGACCGTTTATAAAGCGATAGCACCAACGGGCAAGGTCGATCTGCACAGCGGTTCCGGCTACCGTCGCAAACTAGCAGCAGCCCATAATTTGGAGGATTGTTATCCCACGATTGTCACGTTACACGAACTCCACGCAGGGCCGCTGACACGCAGTCAACTGAAAGATACCGTTGAGACGGGTGGCCGCTGATGCAGGATATCGTTTTGTCCATTGATTCAGAATCCGTCTTCAAGTATTTGTCAAGCAAAGACTTGAAGAAACCGACTACACGCACCCTTTTGGGTCACATTAGTTGGATACGGCAAATGGTGGAGCGCGGCACCGTGCATTGTGTGCAGTGATGTGACATTCGCGACATGATTGCAGATGGTCACACCAAGGGGAGCATCGACAGAGACATGCTCCTGCAAGTCATGGAAGGAGTGCGATCCTTCAAGCACGACCTGAAACGACACACTCCATACAGGGCTTGCCAGACAGAACCATCTGATTCGCCCGAGGATTAGTAAGCTGCGGGGCGGCCTGCTTGGGTTGAGCCCGCTTGTTGCTGCTGCCTTTCTCGTGCAATCGGAGGTGAGGGGGTGAGATCGAAGTGGAACGGAGAGCCCCCCTACCGGGAAATCGATTTCGGTTTTGTGTTCGTGCGTGCCGTGCGTGCGGGCGAGGCGAAGCTGCGTGGGCGGGCGAGAGGAAAGTCTCCTGTGGCTGAGGCGCGGCCGGACCAAATGATTCTCCACCGGGCGGCCGGTGGCGCGCGGTGTCCCGCCGGTGTCCCGGTGGTGTCTTCTGTGGCTGAGGCGCGGCCGGACCAAATGATTCTCCACCGGGCGGCTGGTGGCGCGCGGTGTCCCGCTGGTGTCCCGCCGGTGTCCCGTCGGTGTCCCGATCATGATGTTGATGATGATGATGGTAATGATGATGATGGTGATGATGATGATGGTAATGATGATGATGATGATGTTGATGATGATGGCGACGATGATGATGATGATGATGATGATGATGTTGCAGGGTGGTCGTATAGGTATAGCTGTTTTGCTGTAGCGGACTCACGCTTCGTGTTCTCTCTCTCCCCCCTGATTCCGAAGGAATAAGGGCACAGGCGAGAGATATCGAGCGCTTGTCCGCGGCCATTTTGGCCCAAGTGACCGGCCATCTATGTGACCGGGCCGCACCGCGGCCCGCTACCTTACATCGAAACAGAAACGGCTCCACCCTTTATATTCTTGAGATGTGTCATCGCCGCTCACGCGGTTCCCTTTTACTTCTGGCATTATCGCTAATACGATACAACAGGGTTGGACGCATGCTGTGCCTTAGGCGAAGCATTTGGTTGGGCCTCCCAATCGATTTTAAACTAGATTTCGTGGGCCGTTTTGGAAACCACGGACAGCCTTGGAGAGCGCCAGAGAAGCGTCGGGACGGCCCAGGGATCCTCGGGAGGGGGGGTGGGCGATGCAAAGAATGCACAGCCCTACCAGACAGCACTTGGTATTCTACCACGCCTCATCTTGCTAGGGGGCACGATGCTGATGTGGCACCCTTGTGTAGAGGAGAGAGTTATCCGTGCGGCAGGTTCGCACCGGGTCAGCGGCGCAGGGGTTCAGGGGTGACCGTTGCCAGTGGACCAGATCGGCCGATATCGAACGATCCGCGCAATCGGAAAACCGTGATCGTTCAAGGGTGAACGATCAATGCGATGTCAGAACTCAGTGCCGACGTCATCGCGCCGTGGACATGCCGTGCGTACCCGATTTTGCCAACGCCCTGCCTTCGCCATTGCGCATACAGCTGGCACGATGGTCAAGACCAGCCCCTGGCTCTGAAGGGGTGCCCTGATTTTCGTTTTGCCTGGGCTGGGTATCCGGGGATACCATCCTTTCTGGGTATCCCTTTGAGACCTTGGGCCCTCGGCAAGGGGGCTCGTGCTCTTGTCAGGGGCAACTTAGGGGGATTGGCTCAGGGGGGGATGCATCGACCTCCAAATGTCCATTGATCGCCGATACCCCGCCGGGGAGCGTGCGGATTCGCTATCATCTGGGGTGTATCGCCGATCTAGATACATCACCGATTGCAGGTCAATGTTTCCCCCCTGAGCCAGTCCCCCCTTGTCGTTGCCCCTCGGGAGGTCCGTTGAGGCCCCCAAAGGTCTCCGGTTGGCTTCTGGAGGCCACGATATGGCAAGGGCCTCCAAAAGTCTCGATCCTCGATTCTGCGCTTTTGTGTGAGGCGTCTTTGCCTGTCTCTGCGAGAGTGGTTGCACACGGCGGCTCGGCGGCGCCCCCCCCCTTGGTGCATTCCGCCCCCGCGCAGACACGCCGCGTACGAGGACGTACAGACTTGCCACATCACGTTCGAGGTCGGCCCGTCTGCTCGACGCGCCTCTGTCCAGACCCGCGCGCTCCAGGGCTGGGCCCAGAACTCCGACGTCGTGATTTGTGCCACAAGGTCGCATCGACTCCGCGCCCACGTCCTCCCTAGATGAGGCTGCTTGGCTTCGATTCCGTCTCCTGTCCGACTCACGATCCCACCTATCCGATTTCCGCTCCCACCACTCAGAATAGATTTCGCCAACGCCGCGGTCTGATCCTTCTCTGGGCCCCGGTCCGCCCGCGCTGCCCTCGTAGGGCTGGTCCGTCGGACCGACGGTGCGCGCTCGCTCGCACGTTCAAAACGTCGACCCCCAGAGGTCTGGACCCCGTCCCCGCCCGTTTTTCATCCCAGGTCGTCTTATGACGGTCCCGAGGCCCAGTGAGGGCCCCCAGAGGCCGAAAATTGCCAAAAACATTACGTCGTGATTTGTTTCGCGACGAGAGGAGGTGGGGCGAATTCGGGGGTTCGAAGATGGGGCCCTGAGAGAAGGGGGCTTTGAGGATAGGAAAGGGCTTCCAGGTTGAATCTGCACTGTTCGGGGCCTCCTCCCACTAGCGCCCCGTGTCTCGGGGCCCCAAGCTTGAAGCTCCAAGGGGTATTCGAGGGAAGAGGCACGCTGACCATGACCAAGATGTCGCGGGATCTCGTCGACGCCGACTTTGGTCATAGTCCATGCCAGCCGTCGCCGATTCACGAGGATGATCCACAAATTGACGATGACCAATGGACGGTGACCAAGATCCACACCGACGTCTCCGTGCTGTGCTCAGTCTTGGTCATGGTCCTCGTTGCAGAATAAATTTAGGAATCGACGAAAACGCCCGAACACCCAGAATCCCTCCCCGGCTCACCTCACGGTTTCACCGTCCCGTTTCGGGAGCCCACGAAAGGTTGCGACGTCGGCCTCAGAGCGTTATTCTAGTTGGCTGGGCCTGCGGCTCGGCCCTTGCTCCCCCGCGGGAACGGATCATGTCTGCTCCTGGAAACGCCCTTCGAGGCAGTCCCGGTTGGCCTCAACAGGCTCCTCGAGTAGTTGCGCCTCGCCGAGGACGTTCTGGGGATGTCCGGATCGTCCCGAACGGCCGACGAAGACCCAACGAATGGCCCGGAAATTCACCATTCGAGGCCAGGTGTGGTGCATCAATGGGCATTCGAAGTGACCGCACGGTTTTGGGACTTGGTGTAAATATTGATCATAATATCCCTCCCACCAAGCACTTGATGCAAGCACAAGATAAGAGAAATAATATCAATTTATCTTCGTACTCAAAGCAAACGTGACTAGGTGCGTCCACCCTCCCGCCCAGCTTGTGAGCCACAACAGCCATGGGCGGAAGGGAAAGATAATTCATCATCACCCTAAATCTCACATCCTCGCCTACTTGATTTTCACACAGGAAAAAAACATTGCTAAAGAATGCGTAGCTAATTCTGAAGCAAGCCTCCAGAATATTATTGAATACCGCATAGACCACCCTTCGGGTGATAAGGAGGTGAGGGGGGGGAGGGACCAACGTCGCACTCGATTGTTCTCACTATCGAATTCACTACCGATCTCACAATCGATCTCAATCGATAGATCTCACAATCGATGTGATTATCGATCTCACAATCAATCTCACAATCGATCCCACAATCGATCTCACATTCGGTCTCGCTATTGATCTCACAATCGATATCACAATCGATCTCGCATTCGATCTGACTATCCATCTCACTATCAAATTCAAGATCGATCTCATTATCGATCTCACATTCGGTCTCACTATCGATTTCACTATCGATATCACAATCGATCTCACAATCGATCTCGCATTCGGTATCACTATCGATCTCACTATCGAACGCACTTTCGAAATCATTATCGATCTCACATTCGGTCTCACTATCGATCTCACTATCGATATCACAACCGATCTCACAATCGATCTCACATTCGGTTTCATCATCGATCTCACTATCGAACTCACTATCGATCTCATTCGATCGATCTGACTATCGATCTCACTATCGATCTCACAATAGACCCCACAATCGATCTCACATTCGGTCTCACTATTTGTCTCACTATCGATATCACCATCGATATCACAAACGATCTCCCATTCTGTCTCACAATCGATCTCACTACCGATACCACTATCGATCTCACTATCGATATCACAACCGATCTCACAATCGATCTGACATTCGGTTTCACGTTCGATCTCACAACCGATATCACTATCGATCTCACTTCGACTCACTTCGATCTCACAATCGATCCGCATCACCATCATCAGCATCATCGGGACACCATCAACACCATCATCATCATCATCATCATCATCATCATCATCATCATCAGCACCATCATCATCATCAACATCATCATCATCGGGACACCGACGGGACCGACGGGACACGGGCGGGACACCGCGGGCCCCCGGCCGCCCGGAAGGGAGTCATTTGGTCCGGCCGCGCCTCAGCCACACGGGACACCAGCGGGACACCGGCGGGACACCGCGGGCCCCCGGCCGCCTGGAAGGGAGACATTTGGTCCGGCCGCGCCTCAGCCACAGGAGACTTTCTCTCGCCCGCCCACGCAGCTTCGCCTCGCCCGCACGCACGGCACGCACGAACACGAAACCGAAATCGATTTCCCGGTAAGGGGGCTCTCCGTTTCACTTCGATCTCACCCCCTCACCTCCGATACTTGTCGGCTTGACCGGCCGAAATCCGCCTGCACACCGAACAACAATTATCAAGATATCAAACCAAATCTTGAACAGCAAATATCCAGATAGCCAATCAAATCTTCAGCAACAAATAGCAAGATCTCAAACAAAATCTTGATGCACACATCATCCCTTCACTTGAGAGGGTGCACTCATCATCTTTTCACGTGAGAGGGTGCGCACACAATGTCCTCAATCAACCAACGCAAACACAACGTTGGTATTGAATATCAATACAGTCTCTTCCACCACTCAGCATCAACGTAAAGTTGGTAGTGAAATCTCAGCGTACCTGAGCTGACTTGATGATGATGTAGGTTTTCTAGGTCTCGATACTCGGATCAAGGTTGTAGCTCCTGCCCTCGTCTGCGTCCAGCTTCAGACAACGGCCCAAGCAATTGGCGTAGTGTTTGTCCTTGCTGTATATGTCTGCGAAGCTGTTGCCCTCGTCCTTGCCACTCTTGATGCGCATCGGTCCCAATGTAGCCAACAACTGCCTCAGGAGAGCATTGCCCCCCAGGTAGATCTGTCCATCCTCTGTGATCTCGTCGGAGTACGTCTCCAGCTCAGGCTCAGCCTTCAGGCGTAGTGCAGCTGTCTTGAGTTATGCCTGCTTGGGCACCTCCGCCCTGAAAATGTTGTCGCTGCTTGAACTGTTCACCTCCATCGGTGCCATTCCGAAGTCCTCGTCGTCGCTCTGCTTAGGCTGCGTTATGTAGATAAAATGATGATTCCCGCGATGATAGAGATTAACGTCACCACCGTAGGAGACATCGAGAGGCAAATCCATACATTGCAATTGCACAGACGTGAAGCAGAACTGCAACTTGGTCAGGTATCTGGATGGTTCGCTGCGCGCCACACCTGTCCATTGGAAAATGGCCGTCGCATCGTCCATGCAAAATGTTTCGACATACTCGGTCTCGTCATAAGTATTGTCCTTGTCGTCGTAGAAGCACTCGTCCACATAGTTGTACGTCTCCACCGGCCAGGTAAATATTTCATCGTTCCCATCGGTGTTGTCGTACAGCTCCTGTTTGACGTACTTAGCCATCTTCGCGTTGAGGTCGTCGACCTCCCTGTTGGCTGCCACCTTCTCTGGTCCAACTAGTTTCTGTCCGCGCATTGATGGTGCCCTGTCATCAGGCCCAGGAGTCCACAAGTTAGACATCACAATCTTCCTCGCGCAGCCTCCTGGAAGTACTTTCGTCAAACAGTCCGCTAGCATCTGCTCGATCTTAGCCCACTTGATGCTGACCTCCTTGAGTGACTGACGTAATATAGCCGCCTTCAGAGAAAGTTTCCGACCTGTCATAGATACTTTCTCCTTCGCGATCGTATCATACAAACTCTTGCATCCAGTCACCGAAATGCATTTCACCGGGCAGGTGTCACTCACGATCTCGGCCGCGTCCATCTCTGGGTGCAGGATCTCCGCCAGGGTTAACCTTGTCCAAATCAACATATCCACCGAATCTGCACAGGAGTATGCCTCCGCCGCTAGAGTAAGATCGCACCACTCGCTGAATCTTTGAAGACTGCCACCCAATGCAATGTACCCTGTACTTGTTGCCGTGGTCCTCATGGAAATTCCCGTCACCTAGCATGATGAAATGTCCTCGTTGCGATCTGTGCTTCGGCAGGTTGTCAAAAGCACTGTCGGTCACGTTGATCACCATGGTCTTCCACAGGTTCAGGCCAGCTGTGAACTTGATCAGTAGGTCGTCCCGCTTTTGGATTCTCCTGATAGCTGCATCCCCGTCCTGTAGGTCGGTCACCTTCGGAGCTTCCAGCGCCGATGCCAATCGGGATGCCTCGAGCGCCTCGTCGATGCAAATCACTCGCGCAGCCCACTGGAGTTGTCCAACCACCAGTTGTAGTCCTCGATGCTCTGCAGGGGTAAGTGCACTGTCAGGTGCTTTGCTGCGCTCCCTGGACACACGCACAGTCTGCACATGCTTCACAGAGGCCTCCATGGTATCTTGGCGCCCTCCAGGTCGTCCAGCTCGATGCCGGTGAGGATCCACGCGTAAACGCATAATCCCAATAATCGTGTTTTCTATGTTAAGCTTGATGAAGGTCGCGGGCTCGGCCTTCCCACCCAAGCCTCGCGAGCGTCTCGCGCAGCGCCGCGCACCAAGCTCTCGCCGCATCATTGGCCCCGTAGATGCTCTCGTTGAGCTTCAGCTCAGCAGGTCGCCTGCCATAAAAATTGGGACGGTGCTCTTCCCAAGGTTCGTCGGGATTCGAAAGTAGAGCTCGCGCGCGA